CATATGACATGTTTGGATTTATGATATGAGCACACGAGTGCAAAAGTGGCAGTATGACTTGTTTCATTTCAGTAGATATATCAATTACTTGACTTTACATGTACGATTACACCAGATCTTCATCTGAAGTCAAGTATCACTGTTATCTGGCATTTAGATTCAGAATTATTTCTTCAGTCATGTATACAGCACAGTTTCTCTTAACTGCCAAGCAACTTCGAAACATGTAACTTCTTGAGAGGTTTAACATTGAGCTCAGCAAGTTGCTGGTTCATGCTGGTTCTATCAACTTCTATACGTCGCGATAAACAAGCAAGAGTGTTCGTTGCACGGAAGAAATTCGATTTCAGTTTCATGTTTGAGGCGTAAAGAACACCAGAACTCTGGAACTAGAGCTGTGCATGAGCTCACATGCTTGACAGTTGAGCTAGAATAAAAATCAGCAATCGAGAACCTCCATTGCGCTTCTACTCTATTCAAAGTTCTTCAACATTATGTTGAGTAAACTTCCAAATAGCTAATCAGTTTTTTTCTGAACCTACAAGGTATGTAGAGTTATATAGACTACTATACCGATATTTAAAGAAAAAAGAAAGGCATTGTCAACAAGGCCAACAGCGCATGTTGTCAAATTCATCCTCTTGCTTGCATATATTATAATAGATTCAATGAAGATGAACTTTGAAATCTTCGTTGTCAGGTGGCGACATAGATTGTATCATCATGATGATGCATTCAGTGTGACTCACATATCCTGTTCAGATGAACTTTGAAACCTTTGTTGTCAGGTGGCGACATAGATTGTATCATCACGCTGATGCATTCAGTGTGACTCAAGTATCCTTCTAGCTTGCACAACAAAGTCAAGATCTACTCTGACCTTCTAACACCTTCAACTAATCATAGAGTAGAACACGCTTTTTGAGTTAGAATATTGTCGCTAACTTGATCGCTCACACTTTTCAATGACGAGATCTTATTGAAGACGGCGCATGCTTTTTTCCCACCTACCGATTGAAAGGTCTGTCTTCCCGTGAGTCTTGATGCAACTAGATTCGGAGTGAAGACTGCTACTTTACATTACAAGTCATTTTTTCAACTTTAGATTATTGTCTTACTTAGATTATGTTATTGCGAGTGAAGTCATAGAGACATCATTTGATATGAATGATATCTTCAATGCAATTTAAGAAGAGTGAAAGATTTGAATATAATGATGACAAAGGGATACACAAAGCAGCATAACACGGAAAGAGTTCCAGGTTGAACCCACATCAATAACATCCAATACTTAGAAATTAATTAGAAAACAGATTCAAATCGTTAACTATTAATCTATTTGCTTGTTTTGAATGAAGAAAACATATGAATTTATTCACATGTATTTTCAAATAATGAAATCAAATGGAATGAATTATCAAACAATGTTTGGAATTTATTTGGTCCAACGTAAATGAAAATGAATAATCTTTGACGTAATAAAATTAATGCAACATCACAAGATCTGGTACAAAAGCATGATGAAATTATTAGTCTCTCATTATTTTTGAAGTTAAAATAAAGTTACACACATAATCTAATGTTTTGACAAAAATCAGAAGTTAATGAAACACATGATGGAAAAGAAGAAATAACATTAAAATATTTTCCAACCTCAACCAGGACAAAATGAAACATGATACATTTGGGAATGTGCTTTTAATCACATAAATAACTTGAAATACAAAAGAACTAACGTAATTTGTTTGATCACCAAATAAACCATCATCATCAGTAAAAATAAAGAGATTCTAAATAAATTGAAATCATCTGAATATTTTCTTGAAAGATTGCTCTCAATGTTTAAACACAACAAATAATTCAAATAAAAGTTATCGATTTCATTTTCAATGTTTGTATTTTTTGAGTTCTAAAACATCATAGTTTTTTCTTTGAAAATTAATTTTAAATAAAAAATTAATTACCATGTTGTTTAGATACATAAATATTTTTTTAAAAAAATATTTATTAATTATTTATATATAACTTTGATTGAGAACTAATTTTTGATATCTTTACATTGTACCCTAATCCAAAGTTTTCATTATCTATACTAAATATTATATTTATATATGATTAAAAAACTTAAAAAATAGCTAGATTTCTTTTCAAGAATTGTTAAAAATTTTCCAAGAATTGTTTTTAACATCTTAATCAATTTTAGATCAAAATACTTGGACACAAAACGTTTAGTGAGCAAACTGTATATGATGAGATTTAAGCTATCATTAATTGAATATATAAATGATACACTATTTGCAATCATATTTACTGATGTCTTCTTTTGAGAAAAAATAGCTTCAGACTATGCAACTTCAAATTTCTGAGCCAATAATTTGAATTTAAAAGATTGTTTTGTCCTTTATATACAACTATCGGCAATGCAATAAAAAATATACTATTCGGGTTTATGCTGAAACATGCTCTCATTCTCACTAACATCCCTAAATCCAAAATCTTTAGGAATTAAAAAAATCAAAAATATAAAATCTCTAATATTTGTTTGAAAATTCATATTTTACTTTTTTTTTTGTTTAATCCAAAAATTATTTTGATATTAATCATATAATTTCGATGCAAAAAAATGTTGATATGTATGATTAACTATCTTAAAAAAATGTTATTTGGCAACGTATCATTCATTCACAAAATTAACATATTTAACTTATTCATTTTTGCATTATTTTACAATTGGAAAATTGGATCCATTGCAGGAAGATTGTGTTGAGATCATGAAGGCCATGCATAAAGTGACCAGGCTACAATACTCTGTCATCTTAGCAGCAGGAATTGATCATGCGATTTCTGTATTCACGGTCATTCATTTTGGCTTTGCAAACTCACCAAAGTCAATGGGTTCGTGATGGTCAACCGGAAAGTCAAAAGAATAAAATGAGTTCAAGATTCCAAAAAGGTTTGTTATTTTCACTACAACACTGACGGACTATAGACAGACTGTTCACTTCAATAGAGTGGAAGAAGTCTGCCATCAATTCGTATTGCTCAACGTCATTTAATCTTCTTACTGCAGCTGTTCATGGACAGGGGCACGCAGCTGAAAAAATGAAAAATGGTACATCCTTGTCTTAGTACAGGGTTGGGTCTGTTGTTGGGTCTAGAAAATGTAGCGGAAGACGACACCAAAAGACACTGCATGTAAGAGTGAAGCTCATGTCCTGAACTTGGTGGTGGCAATTGCAAAGGCATCCAGATTGGAGCAGAGAAGAAATGTGCAACAGAATCTCCTCACTCCCAAAAATATAAAATTTAATAAAGTTGTGTGTAGGAGAGAAATTCAAATTGTAGCTACATTGTCATGGTCGATGGCGTGATTATGTAGAATGTGATAGAATGCCAAGTTTTCTGCTAAATGCTTTGAGGTTCAATGCAGAGGAGTATCTCAGCGACCATATCCAGACAAAAGCTTTAAAAAAAGATCAAAAATAAAGAAATGCAGAGTTCTGTAACGGGGACTTATGGACTATTTGGCTACTCTGGTACAGGGATGGTGCAGGGAACGAATTGACACCAGATGTGGTCAGCAATCGTCCTGAAAATGCGTTCATGGACAATTGAAAACTGCAGCGATCATCTTCAGGTGGTTTAGGTTATCAGTTTATTCTGATGTTGTTGCAACACAACATCATTGGCAGAGACAGCGTTTCAAACTAGTGAATCATTTCTAAGTTCAATTTTCCTCTGGGGGGCATCAGCTGCGGAAAAAAATCCGAAGTAACAATGGGAGTGCTGAAATAGTCATCCGAGTTCATTGTTGGCTAGAAGTGAGTGTTTTAAAAGCAAATATGAGGGAGTGCTGAAATAGTCATCCAACGTCATTGTTGGCTAGAAGTGAGTGTTTTAAAAGCAAATAGGAAGGTGGCGATGGACTCTATAATGGAAGCAATGTCCTATGTATTGTAATTGTTCGGTCCCACAAAAAAGATCAAAAGTGTCAAGCCCAGCATCTTCACTGTCTTAAGTGGAGTGAACTTTAGTAAGTTCAGTACAAGCTGGGAGTTAAAATTGGTTTGCTTAATAATTTCTAGTTGGGGCTGGATATATTTTAAAATAACAAACAATTTGTGGAACACTGAGGATCAAACAATATTGTTGTGAGTTTCTTAGAAGAAGTTACATTGAGAGTCTATCCTTATGAGTATGTAGGATAGAGTTTGGATCATGGGAGTGAGTGCAAGATATTTTTCATATCTTGTGTAGCAAACGGGTATACTATTACTCCATAGATTAAAAATTCAACGGACCATATGAATACTATAGTTGCTTACCAGGTGCAATATTTCAAAAAAGTTCTTTTAAGTGTTAACTATCGGAACTTGTAATATCCTATGTGTTTAGGCGGTAACAATGATGAAAACACGCAACAAAGGAACCATAGAACATGGCAAATAGCCAGCTCATGCTGTTTCTGTCGTCTTCCGTACCAAGCGATAAGCAAGCAAGAAAGAGCGATTTTATTTTTCTGGTCTAAAGACCTCCAAACTGTGCATGCATTCACATGCTTGACTGCTGGGGTAGAAGAACAGTCATACCAGCAGTTGATAACCTCGAGTACTGGTATCCTCTGTACACAGTTAGTAAATTTCCAAAAAGCTTATCAGTTTTTTCTGAACCTACAAGTTGTATTTAATTATGTAGACAACTGTTCTGGGTCAAAAGTAAGGAAAAACGTAACATGCTTATTACAGCTGACTACGCATGTGCCACTCAGCTGTCAGAATACGCCCACTTGCTCGAATAGATCAAACATCCCAGATAAATGGATTAGTAAAGAATAAATTTGTGATTGACTTTGTCAATGTGACGTCGTCGAGTATATCATCACACTGAGGCATTCACCCACGTTTCCTCTTCGCTTGCACAAGGAAGTCAAGATCTACTCTGAGTTTCTAACACCATGTTCCGATCACAGAGTATGAAGGAACGGGATTTTTGTGTTCGAATGTTGTTATTACCTTGATCGCTCACACGACTCAATGACAAGATCTGATTGAAGAGGATGCGTGCTTTTTCCCCACGCTAGCCATCGTAGTGTATGTCTTCCCGTTGGTCTTGATGCAGCTAGATTCGCAGTCTCCCAGTACAAGTGTACATCCAGTTTTTGCACAACTCAGAGTTCGTCACATCTGAGAAATCTGCAATATCATGCCTTCTATGACATTTTGCTTCCACATTGCGCCATCTTTGCTAAGAACTTGATTTCAGATACTCGCTGGTTCGCTCGTCAGACGCTAGGTCGCTGCCGCTGCTGCGCTCCGGTCGACGACGACGTTGTTGCGTTCAGAGAGAGGCAGAGCAGAAGAAGAGAGGCCGTGCAAGTGCTCAGCATCTATGATTTTCTTCATCCCATCCAGCATCGGAAGGGACACGAGGTACTCCGCGTTCTTCATGCCGCACAGCGGCAGTGCTCGCTCTGGATAGGAAGAAGAAGAGAAAAAGGAAGAGAGGGAGAGAATAGAGCTGACCCGAGGGGAGGAAGGAGAGTGCTATCATCTTGTCCACTCAGTTCGGTCACCAGTGCACATCAAAACCCTTTCTCCCAGAGGCGTTCAAATAGACGTGGCGTATTTTTTGCCACACGGTCTAGCAGCACTTTGCACAATCTCCTTGCGTTCGTGGTGATTGCTCATGATTCGTATCTGCAGATCTTGAAGTGATATTTGTGTCCCTGCTTGTGCACAGTGCAAGAAGTCTCATGCCCAGCACGCACACGAGTTGTGACACTACGACAGGATGATAAGTTTTCTTCGGGAGAACCGGCTTTCGGACAGAGGACAGTGACTCCTGTAGGCACGGTTACATTTCGCTCGCGCATGCCAAGTAGCAAATGTTTCTTACTCTGTGAGAGTGGAGGAGAGAACGGAAGGTGCAGGTGCGTCATCTTCAGTCACGCTGCTGAACTGGCGACACGGGAAATGGACTCTGCACACGAGGAAGCGAAGCTTCCCTCCGCCATCCAGGACCTTCTACAGCTTCTGGAAGGACAAGGCGAGCCTATAACGGAGCTTCCCGAGTTTCCCAGGCGTGCATCACTCTCGACAATCATAGGGACGCAAAGCCAAGTGCGTCTTCGAGTGCTGGAGGCAATCGGCAGCTGCAAAACCCTTGAGATTCTGGACGTGCGCCATATTTGTGGGGGAGATATATCGATGTTGACGGCAAGCGAGTGGGAGCTAGTTTTCAGAGGTTTCAGGTCTAGCACCGTTCTTAAAAAGATAAACGTTGATTATCGGTCAAGGGATTCAGATGATGCGGAAAACGAGAGCTTTTGTTTCCAGCTGGGGAGAATTCTGAATTCCTCTAGCGTAACAGAGTTATCAGTGTGCAACTTATTGAGTGCCAGAGGTTTCTTGAATCTCGCCTCAGGACTGCGAGGACATCCCGATTCTAAACTCAAGTCTTTAGATTTATTGAATGTGTGGGAGGACTCGAGTGCGGTGAAGTATATGGTTGACATGATCAATAGTGCTCCTCAATTAGAAACGTTGCGTTTAGGCCATTGGGACGACATGGAGGACGAAACCGTTGGAATCCTGTCCCAGGCTTTGATCCAGAGCTCTTCTTTGAAAGAATTGACCTTAGAAGCCGCGGGGAAGTGGGGAGGGCCCTTGTTGCTGAAAGCATTGGCCGGAGCCGATCGCAACCGATCCATTGAACGTCTTCGGCTAAGGGATATGGTTGGACTCGTAGACTACTTAAGGGAACTTCTTATTTCCAACCCATCATTGAAGGAAGTGCAGTTCCACACATTCGATATGCGTCCTGAGCAATTCCACCAGCTCGGCGAAGCCATACGTGACAATGCCATAGCGACAACTATACTTGTTCTCGCTATGTCTGGCTTCAGATATGATGACTGGAAGTCAATAGAAGCTCTTGCTTGTTCTTCTAGCTCCGATGTCAAGGACCCCACAGTGGAGCTTCATCTCGAATCAGCTTCGAGTGACCAACACTGGATGTTATCATTAAACCTATTGGGTAGGGTACTGCGCGGGGAAATCAGATCTCTAAAATCTCTGAGAATACTTGCGGGTGGTAAAGAAGTTATCACGTTCAGTACATTCTCTATGAATGGGGAAATTGGAGAAACTTCAGTCCTGAAGAGACTGGAATTATCTGTTCGAAGCGAAGATCTTTCGGAGGCAGTATGGGAGGACATGCTTCGGTGCATGCGAGGGAACCACCTCACTCACTTGGATTTGTCTGACTCCGAACTCAACGAGGAGGCGTTCAGGGACGTGATGGGGGTCTTGCAAGTGAACTTGGCTCTCCAGGAAATCTACGTCTCACGAACATCATGGGCAAGGGACGGAAAGGCGGCGCAGATTCAAGAGGCCCTGAGGCAAAATCAGAAGCGGGCCGTCTACATGTCAGTGTTCCGAGAAGCCAACTTAACATTTGGAGATGCAAAAGCTGGTCGACTCTTCTTATGCGGCTCTCCTAAAGCAGGTACTATGCCCTGTAAAATTCTCTATTTTTTTCTCAATGTACTCCATATAGCAATCTATGGTTTAACTTTTCTTCAATCAAGATTGACACATCAAATGATATATTGATCTAAATATAATGATGTGTGTATACAATTAGTAACGGAAAGAAAAAAGATCAAATACGTAAATCATCAATTATATAACTTCAAATGTTTTGGTGATTTTTACATTTTTCAATCAACTTTATCTTCACATATTAAAATAATATCATGTTGTATTGTATCTCAAGAATGTCAATTCAAAGCATCCTTAATAACAAGTTGTGTATTTTGTGATTTTGTTTTCTAACGTGCAGGAAAAACTCAATTGCGTAAAACCCTGATGAGGATAAATCATAGCTGGCTACACAGAAGCAGACTCTTCAATAAATGGAACATATTGAGGAGGACCAGAGGCATTGAAGTGGAGTTTTTGCAAAACAATGACAAAATGCAAATCTCAGTTTGGGATCTTGCAGGACAATGGATGTTTCGTACCCTTCAAAATGTGCTCTTTTCTCAAACCAACAATTTCTGTGTTTTTCTTTTTGTGTATAGCCCTTTTTGTGAGGAAACATCTTCAAACAAACCAGATTCTTGTTTTGAAACCGAGTTAGAGGATTGGTTGAGTTTCATCACATCTAGCATTAAAGTCACAGGACGTGATCTTCCCCAAGTTTTTGTTGTCATTTCACACAAAGATAAAGCCAGATACAGCTCTCTGAGTTGGGCTCAGTCCATATTTGAAAAACTCACCCAAAGATTCGCAAACTTTGTGGATCTCCGCCCTGTTCAAGAGTGGTTCCATGTGGATGCTCGAAGTAAAAAACAAGTTATTCCTCTCAACAATCACATTTTTGAGAATTTTAACAAGTTGTTGAGAGAAAAATCCCCACAGGTTCCAAAATTGTGTTCTCAACTCACCTCCCTCTTAGTTATAGAAACCAAGAAGAAGAGAAGTTTTCCTCTGTGGCCATCCCAATTTTTTTATGAATTCTGTGCTCCCAGCTTGACACAATTCATTCCGTCATCTTATGCTCACTCTGTTGATCATTCAAGGATAATGGAGTCTATCATATCCTACTTGAATGACATTGGATACATCATTTACATTCCCAACCTTAATTACATCATTGTAAATCCCAATTGGCTCACCAATACCTTCTTGGGTGAGCTCATAGCTCTGGGTCAAGACTTTCAAGCTCAAGAGTCAAAGTCTTCTATTAGAACAAGCTCATACTCAAGCATGGACGGATTTGTGAGTGAGAGTGTCTTTGCTCGATTGATAGAAGAGTTTCTAGAAAAACAACCACATGGACAGAGAGGTGTGGAAAGAGAGGAGCTTGAAAACATCCTTGTCAATTTAGATTTGTGTTTCAAGCTCGAAGATACTTCTCAGTATTTCATTCCTTCCTTCATCCCTGAGCATGCAAGCAAGGAAGACCAGAAGCATCAAGAAGAGGCGCACTTGGAGTCGATGTATTGGGAAAATAGGAGTGAGACTTCACAGTTTGTCGGCATTCGGATTCAGTGCCAAGATGAAAGAACAATGTCACTGACTGCTGCGTTTTTTCCACGCTTCCAGGTGAGGTTGAATCATGCTTTCACATACATAGTGAAATCGTTGCATGCGATAGGTTCTGTTTGTAATTAGCGTATGATGATGCAAATGTTTCCTTTTCATTAACTGCAAAAAATAATTCGAATGTCCCACTAGAGATTTACTAAATTTTTTATGATTGTAGATGTTCATGAGACGCAAGTTGAAATCCGAGATGCATGTTTCCGAGGAGAATATGACTTGCTCTCGACATTATCAGCGAATTTTCCTTGACGGACATCAGATATATATCGAGCATGTTCAGAGTGAAAAGTCGCACAAATACATAGATGTTCTAATGTTATGCTCGAGGCATAAGTCAAGGGAAGTGGCTACTAAATATGTGATGAGGCATATCGTCCAGGAGTTGATATCATTTAGCGCATCACCAAAAGGCTGTCCCGGGGTGGCATTGGTGCTAGGTGTGATCCAAACATTTTGCGTGGAGATGCTGATTCCGAGTCATCTCAGAGGAGCCATTCTTGTCGAGAAGTTGAAATCGGACTTCATTTGTAGCATCAATGACAAACTTGAGGGAATGCCATTGGAAAGGTTGCAGTTGATGGAGAAGAAAGAGTTGTTTGATTATGAGCATTGTTGGCGCCCCATTAAAAGTCACACAGGTGGAAGATCCGAACGAGCTAGAGATTTGTTGTGGGAGAGCGATGTGGAAGCAGCTGTGAATGAGATTCGACAGAAACGAATTGAAGAATTGAAGTCATTGCAGGAAGGTCTAATTAGCGTGGACAATGATTTGGCTCAGTGTTATCCTGAAGCTGAAAGCATGGATAGCAACTCGAATTTCCCCCAAATGAAAGACCGCAAACCACTCACATCCAGGTGCTTGAGTCGTGCCAGCACAAGTGTGGAGAATGCAAGTGTGGAGACTCAACTTGTTTTGTTCAAGATGGACCAGCTAGAAGAAAAGCTAGTACAAAAGGTTGATGGTTTGGACGAGAGGTTGAGATCAGTGCATAGCATTCTGCAGAGAATGGAGATGAAGATGGAACAGATACTCTCTTTGCATCAAGAACTGCAGTCAATGCTGAGTGCATTTGTGTTTAAAGTGGACAGAATAATTCAGTATTCTGATTCGCTTGAACAGGCCAGAATGCCCAAGCGACCTTACGTTACGACCGATGTTGGCCTCTTCTATAGAATGAGTGCGCTTCTGCATGATGGGACAACCGTTAGATTACAATTGATGTGTGAGTCAGTGACTGGGATTCACACTATTAAAGATCAAGAGGGTTTGAAGATTCGCTTGGACCGGGAGAATAGCTCGTGCATTCGGAAAACTATCGAAATTTCATACAAAGTCATGTATTATGCTGTGAAAGCTGGACTGGATAAGACACTCAATTTGGGCCAAGCAATTCCGGACTGGGAAGATTTAAAATCTGATATTGTTCAACTAGACGGTATTAGTGATGATGATCATAGGGCATTTCTAAAAGGTGGGGAAAGCAAGGAGCTACAAGAAGCATGGTTGAGGATTCATCAAACTCTTGCGCCTCAGCTTCAAAATCGCTATTCCAAAATCTTCAAGTTGTATCAGGTGAAATACGTGAGTTCAGAAAAAGGTGGGCATGCATGGGTGTGCGAGAAATGCATGAATAAAGGACTTCGTTGTGGAATTTTGACATGTTAGGATTTTGAAGAGGTTAGAATGCCAATATGCAATTGACAAGCATATGTTTAGACCCTCATGCAATATACAACTCTGCAAATTCTTCCTTGCAGTTTTCACAAGAAGAAGTCTTTTATAATCTTTGCCATCATGTCAATCGCACAGTTATGTTTCTGCAGAAGATCAGTGTTCGGCTAAACTATCAAGATGATTTTTTGAGGGTAGAGTGTTCATATTGTCTCGTTGCAAGTCTCACTGTGATGAAAATCCTTCCCTTGAGGTGTTATCAGATTTTTTCTTTCCGTATTCTTCGTGCGACACCCTAATAACATACTTTTTCATAGCGGGGTTCTCAGTGCATTTTAAATCGCCAGCACGCTCAGAACTGTCATTTGTATAAATGTGGTAGTTTTGAATCACGAATGCTTTTGCAATTGGACTGCGTGTGGACGTTGAGTTAAAGAGACTCTTTACGTGAAGCACAAATTTTCAAAGGATGCACGACCTCTTTTGCTGAATATCATGGGGAATGTGATTCTCGTTGCAAGTCCTTGACTAGGATATTCATTCTCATTCATCTCGTAGAATGTTAATAACGTATGGTTTGATTGAAACAATCATGGGCCTTAAGTGTACTAGGCTTTATCTCTTTCTCTTTCACCTACAAATGAAATATAAGGGAGAAGGGGAGAAAGGCAAGGGAGAATCGATTCTCGGTTTCTCCCTTGCCACTCAGTAATTCTTGTACTTCCTGCAAAGATAGGTGTAAACTTTACCCATATTGCCATACTATAGTAACAGACTGATACCATTGACATGTATCTATCTTTCTGAGTATATGTACTCTCCCAACACCGAGGAGAGTGAAACGACGCTGACAAATGGAAAAAAATTTAGTGCTAGTCTAATACTAACACTCCAGGTTAGATTACAGAGTTCATAAGTTTCACATCCCGTTACAGCACGTGCGGATAAAATCGAGTGAATGCAAAGGACACTGAATTCGTGTTCCTCGAAATAGGGAGAGTTTGCACTATTTCTGATCAGAAGAAAAACCCTGAACTCGAGGGTCGCTACTGCTCGTGGAAAAGCACAGGCATTTCGGACCAAAATAATACTTTACGGCATGGCTCTATAAATAGAAGGTGGCAATATATTCCAAGCCCCCAAAAACCCCGGAGTGATCGAGGCTCACCTTTTTTAAGAAGAATCTGGGAGACAATCAAAGAATTTGGAAAGAACGCTCGACGCCTTCAGGCATTAACCGTGGTCCTGTGAGGTGTCAGAACGAGAGGAACTGTAGGCCGCAGATTATGTGTCGTAGTTTCAGGTGTACCATACGGTATCAAAGACCTCATGCTGTGCTGTACTGTACATTCCTCAGAAAGCCGTAAGTGCGACGGGCTCACAGATCGCAGCCAAACCATTCGCGTTCAGTTTGTTCTGCACTCACCGAACCCAACGCTTCGTGCATTTGCATCGAGCCGTAATCAAGAACCAGCTCTTTCATGATCCGGTGCCGAACTGACTCTGCCAAATCGCTGTTGGTCCGAAGAAGTCCCTACATTCCTCAAGCAGTCGTTGATTTGGTTCCGATCTCGATCTACGTGCTGCTTGCTGGGCTACTACCGTCGATCTCTGTTTCTGGAGGCTCGAAGGCCTCGAATTGTGCTCTACTGCGGCAGCACTCCGAATCTTGAGGTTGTGTCGATGTGCCCTAAGTCCACTCTCGACTACTCTGTCGGTCGAGGCGATGGAACTTACTAAGCAACAAGCTTGCCATGCGTTGACAGTGAGCCACCGGTGTAGAGATAGGTCATGATTGGGATTGTTGATGACCAGAGAGGTACCTGATCTCCGTTGCTGATGCGTTCGAGCAGTTCGTCTATGCAAACAGCTTCAAATCACCTGCTTCTCTCCAGATTTCAGTCCAGTCGAGTCGAGGTTCAAATTCTGTCCTTAGACCGATGGTGGAATTACGATTGGTGTCAGCTTCGACGAAGAGAAATTCGCGAAATGTAGAGAATCGAGATCGACAGGGTGCTTGGCAAGATCGAGGCCGGCATCACCTGCCTGGCAAGATCGAGGTGAGCGTACATGAACGAGACCCGTTCTATTTCGATCGGAAAATCAAATTATCTTCACATTAGCACAATCAGCAGAGCGCCTCAACGGGCGAGCATGAGTTCAAAAGTCGCCTTTTCCCATTCTCTCCAGAAGCAACTGCAACCTCCTTCTGCAGCGTCTGAACTTCAACGTCTGTTTCCCAGCTCTAACTCTGGAAACAGAATCGATTTAATGGGAAAAGATCAGGACTTGTTCCACACTGAGGCTCCTGCATATCTTCTTATACTGAGTATGCGACACTGCCAATTTATTTCTGAGAGTAAGCTCTTCCATAGCCAGGTTCGGAGAATTAGCCATGGTGGAGCTCGCCGATCCCGTGAAAAGCTCTTCCAGAATGAGACTGCATGTATTTTCCTGAAATTGCGTCGAAGTGCGAACTGCAGATGAACTTGAAGCACTTCAAGATGAGCGACCTGGAAGACATAGCTTTCGAGCTCAAAGATTCCAAAATCACAACGCTGCGGCTATTCTGCTCAAGCCGAGACTCCGGTTCTCTTCCCACCCCATCGAGTGTTTCTTGGCACCTTCTGCCCTCGTGCATCGCATCGCATTTGCTTTCCCGGTAGCAGCAAGCTGACGAGCTCCTTGCCGTAGACCAAGTCGTGCGTTGCAAGAGAACAACCAGGGGCAGTGGCACGATGATAGTCTCGTCCTCATTCGAGTTTTTCTTACTGATCAGTTCCAGATTCTCCACGCAGAGATCCTTCGTTTCAATCTCACAGATCCAACCACTTCTCAAATCCTCATGAGGTTTACCAGGTTCAGTAAGAAACCCATTCTGCATTTTAATTTCGAAGGTGCTACGCTCTTGCTTGAGTCAATCGTCAGGAAAACTGCCGAATCGGTCCACGGCCATAGCATTATTCATTAAAGCTTTGCATCAGCTGAGAGTCTAATGACTGTTATCTTCGACCTTTGTTTACATCTATCTCTACATATATTATGTATCCTGGGGTCTGACGATGACTTCTGTCGTCCAAATTTGTCGAACGCAATCCAGAGAACTGGCACATGCGGTGGGCATAGGAGGATCGCTCAAATTTCTCGAGCTCGGATTCAAACCTTGGAAGCGTGACCTGCGAGTCTTGTCTCAAGCCTTGGGTCCGTTGCGGTTGCCCTTCCAAAGTGTGGAGAAATTGTTCTTTTTGCATCCAATAATATGAGCTGTTTTCATTCTACGCGCAGGCACAGTGTCCTATAACACGATAAGTCCTTCCCACGTACAGATCAACATCTGCTAACCACGCGTCTTAAGGTTCTGATCCAACCTTGTGATTCGATCCTAGAACTTTTCAGGCATTTCGACCACGCTGCGAAGACTTTCACTTGCAAACAGTGCGCTGGGAGATGATGGACTCCGTCTGTTGGTTCGTCACCTTCTTGAGACCTTCCAAGATCGATGAGAGAACAATTTTATGGAGTAGATAGATGCTCTGTTGCCTCCGTTCCAGGACTCTTCTTTACGCGGAAGATCGATGTGTAACGATGAGCTGTCGCACCTTTGCAGGACCAGGGACTCTCAACCTGTCTCACGCTGCAGATCCTGAATCTGTCAGGATGTGAGCTGACAGCTTCAAGCCATACTTCAATTGCATCAATTCTGAAGGTAGGTTCCAGTTGTTCCCAATTTTCATGAAGTGAGACTGTCTTCATCACTTAACACTGTCTTCCTTCACGGGATTAAAGTCTCGATAATCGACACGGAAGAAGAGGTACCTCGTATGCAGGCATCGGTCGCTTTGAAAGCAGAAGCCGAATGGCAATCAAGCTTAAGAGGACGTGAATCTGGCAAAGCCAGGAGGAAGATCCCAGGCCTACCTTTAAATCGAGGACTCACAGCTCTGGATCTGTCTTTCAACTCTCTGTCGGATGCCACTGCAAAGCACATCTCCAGCGTTCTGAGTCTGGGGGCTCCTCTGGAAGGTGTGCCCTCTGTCCAGTACATTGAACACTAAACTCTTCCATCGTTTCGATTTGGCTGTAAAATGTGAGATTAGCTTCTGCTTTGAGTGAAGGGGATGACAATGCTTTTTTTATCTAAACGAGAACTCATTATTAAATTTCTGGGGAAAAAGAAAAGCCTTGAATCTGCAGGGAAACCAGATGCATGGTAAGAGTATGAAGCTGTTCCTGTCGGTGTTCGCCACGTGGGGCACCCTCCAGTTTGTCGATCTCCGAGACAATCTAGACGGGGCCGAGGTTGGAGTGTTGGAAAACGGTGAGCACCTGTCGTCCTTCTCAGCTGCACACGAACCGTTCTGGAGGTCCCAGTCCCAAGTCGCTGCTGCTGTCCATGTAAGTAGCTCTCCCACCTCTCGAATGAAACGCAAACCGAAGAAGAGTCGAAGGACGAGAAACAGAGCTTCATGGGACCTCCGAGCAATCGGAGACCCGCAGGTGGACGAGGCCCAGATGGTCAAGACCGAGCCATCTGAGCCGGAGGTGAAAGACGACCCGCGGCCGAGTAGACAGAGGTCCCTCTTATTGAGTCCCCTCCTCGATAATGACACGGAGAGCGCTGATCTCATCCCCATGGACACTCTCCCAACGAGCTGGACCGAGGAGTCTCAGATACCTCGTGTTTGTGACTCCAGGGCGAGTCCGTGTCTGTCTCCTCTGGATAACCTGTCTACTCCTTTCAGTTACTCTGAGTACCTGTATTTGTGCGAAGCTCCGGATATCGAGCCATTCCCGGTGAGTTCAGTTTCGAGAGATGATACGCAGATGACTGAGTCGAGCTTCTCTGAAAACATTCCATCCTCCATCGGGTACGACCAGCGAGCTGATCGTGATCCACAGCTTCCACGGCCATACACTCCAATACGCTCGTTAAATCTATCATACATCTCCAGGAACTCGTCTCGGACTTACGAGCAGAGCAATACGGAAAATCGGACTTCGTTGTCCTCGCAACCGCTTCGAGCACCGAGTCCGGAATCACCCATCGACGATTCAGAATGGGAAGCTTTCACGAGGGACATGGCCCAAAAGCTTCTCCACGTGCAGGGTACGTGCCCTGGCCTGGCCTGCCTTTCCTCTTCGTCAGCTTCAGCAGGTGTGAACGTGCATAGCTGTGGATGGACATCGGATGGTCGATTGACGTTTCGTCGAACTCATCTTTTGTTGCAGATGGACTTGATGCCGTGATCAGTTCTGCAAAGCCTGATTTCTTACTTGCAGCTCAAACTGCCATGACCTCACTTCAAGATGGACTCCGGCAGCTACTGCCGTCATGAACTACGAGCTTCATACCACTGGCATGATGTGGTATGAAGCGGTGTACCAAAACCCGAGAACAACATTTAAGGTCGCAGAGTTCGTCGAGTCCGACACGACTGAAATTGCGTCCAGTTGTGTTTACTCGATTTATGCATGAACGAGCTCCGACCTGACTTCCCGTCGAAGACACGACACACCTTTTGACAGTGCCTTCCGATGCTCGAGATGTCACAAAAGGATGACAGAGTGATTCAAATCGACGACCAAAACTCCACATGAACAACTGCCGACAACACTTTGGGATTAAAACACTGAATTCGAGTGTGTCAGAGAGCATTTACTCATCGATGATACATGCTTCTGCTAAAGGGCGGAAAAGTATCGAGGAATGCGGAAGCATGTGATTGATATTAGTAACCGAGTCATGATGTGAGTAAGAGCTTTGAGAGACTCTCAAGAAAAGAGAAATTTCAGATGTTAAGAGTGTGACCATCAACTACGATATTTTATATTACAGTAACAGGTAACATACGGGATCTAGAATTTGAGTTATGGTATATAGCTTCGGTTGCTTAGGATAGTTGTCTTCTTCTTTATCTCGTTATAGTTGGATTGTTAAAAGAGTAGTGGAACACTATCCATGATGCAACTTGATACCACGAAGAGGCCACTCAAGTATCTCCCGCAAATCTATCTCGTGCTCACCACTAAACTCCTTCTACTATATTCCCAAGAGTTATTCAATTGATGGGACCCTTGGGAATCTAAATCGCTAACTGGATCTTTAATTTCCGTTTTAACCTATGGTATCCCACCTGCGGTAAACATCATGCATATTCTAGTATCAACAAACGGTGAAAGTAGTGGAACTCTGTCCCATCGATAGAGATACCAAGAAAAGTCCACTCAAGTATCTCCCGCAAAATTATCTCGCCCTCAACACTTAACTCATTTTACTATATTACTAGAGTTATTTACTTTATTGGACCTTCGGAACCTAAATTGTTAATTGGACCTTTGAGTTTTGGTAATCGTCACGCATGTTCTAGGAAGTGAAGGTAGTGGAACTCTGTCACAGCGATAGAGACTTTCAAGGGGAACATGGCGAAATAGAGTAGTTGGAGCATAGCATTGCACGGAATCCAATACTTGCTCTCATTTTACCCTCAAAGTCTCAACGGGTCTAGATTTACTAGACCGTTGAGATTTACTAGACTCACTACTGTACATAAATCTTTGCAACATCATGATACGAAATATCACTCAATCAAAATCAGCATTGTTTTAACGAGGCCGGGAAGCGAGATGGCCATCGATCCTTAGTTACTGCAAGCTCGGAGATCAGATTGACCACAATGTTGTCTAATAGATGGTGCTCTGTTTTCCCTCTTCATCTGTCAAAGCTTCGTTCGAGAGTGATGTTAGTTGTAACGAGTCCCCTAATAGCAATAAGGTCTGACCAATTCACGATTTGCGATTGCACTAAAACTCTCATCATATGTGTTCAAGAATACGTTTTAGAACGATAGTGTGCAGTAAGTGAATTACTTCCGGATTAAACTAAACTTGATGTATCTCATAAGCGGTTTAGGTTAGTATAGGATCTCATCAAATAAATTAGATTTTGATATTATCTTATCAAATAATTTAGACTTAGATAGTATACCATGAAGTAAATACCCCATATTCCCAAGGATGTATGTTTAGACACATCCAAGCAAGCCTATCCATCACTCTATAAATTCATCAAATGCAATTGAAAATTGCACAATTACCCTAAACTTCCTCTATGTAAATATAGGAAGTTTAGGGTAATTGTGCAACTTTCCAACCTACAACATTCAGATTATGAGCCTGACGAGTTACCAATTACCCGCGAACATCATCAAAGTCTAACGCTTCGCCATTATTTTTGGACGAAACCCGGTTTTTCGAAGGGCTGGAAATCCAAAGCTCTCGACCAACGGCCCAAAGAACACGAGATACTTTGTGGGTCCGAAGGGCCGGGGACCGGGGATTGGCTGACAGGGCCCCTGGGGGGTGGACTGTCAGACAGGGCCTCAGGGGGACTGTCAGAGAAAAAAAACTGCCAGGAAAAAAACAAATTCACAACAAAAGAAAAAAATTGACAAAAATAGGGTTGAGGTATATCAAACGGAATAAGGTTCCACCGCAAACCTGATGGACCTCCCGCAAATATGATCCATTTCCTCAAGGCATATGATATTGTTCGGACCCTTGACAACTACATAAGTTATGGCCGCCTTGAGCGCCGGGGCAATGCCCTAACCAAACATATGGAGCGCAAGGATTTAAAACAACTCCGGAGGAATTGAAAAGTATTTGGGACCAGTCCCGCGTACGGCCGTCTCTTACGAATCGTATCGAGCCAAATCTGCCTTCGGCTCAAACAGCGCCTCGGGCCGGTGAGGACGGCATAAATGTCCCTCACGCCGCCGGCCTGAGATGCGCGCCTATATATTCAAGTTGAAATATATACAGGATTTCCTGCTTTATTAGTAGAAAGTAGAGGTCAAGGAATTGAACAATTAAAATTAAATGTACAAAATATATTATCTTCAGGAGATAGAAGACTCCGAATGACTTTAATCGAAATTGCTAAACCCTACGGAGAACCAAATATTCTTGCAGAATACATTGCTTTACAATTAGAAAGTAGGGTTGCTTTTAGACGAACAATGAAAAAAGCCATTGAATTAGCAAAAAAAGGAAATATAAAAGGAATTAAAATACAAATAGCAGGTAGACTTAATGGTGCTGAAATTGCTCGTGTTGATTCTTTTTCCGTTTTTTGCATCGAGTCGATGTTCGCTTTCGATTTCTTTTTGACCGATTGTTCCCAATTAAGCTGCCGGAAAGATAGGATCTAATGAAAATAAAAGCAAGGTGGCCGAGATCACCTTGCTTTTATTTAGATCCGTAGAGTGGAAATACAACCGCAATTTTATGTTTTTGTCTTGGCCACCGCAAGAACTTATGTCGTATATATAATGAACCCAGGGCAAGTTCTAGCTGTTGGCCCAAAGAGAAGCACTGGGGGTTTACAAGGCGATGACTGCAGTGAAGCTAGCAAGAATCACAAGGGCAAGTTATTAGCTATACAAAGAGAGATTACGTTCTAGAGGTCGGCCTAAGAGAAGCATCTAGTAGCTCGAAATCTCTGAGGAAAAAGAATACACATCCTTTATGGGCTATTTCCTAGTAATTCCATCCGTGACACGCGCTCCTGAAAAAGCTTTCATAAGGGCAGGAGTAACCGTCCTGGCATCTGGCAAGTGGATGGATCGAACCGCCGGTCGAGCCCTCAGAGATCGGGAATGATTTCCTCTGACCCGGGTCCAAAGTGAAAAGATAATAAAAAGAAAATAGATATCGGCCATCTAGGTTCTAGGTTCCCGCCGCCAGCACCACGTCTACAAAAGAACGGCGGCCGACCCAGCGCGGACCGCCGCATCAATTTGAATTGTAACGTTTAAAACCACTTTTTTCTTTATAAGACTCGCCTCTACCACAGCTGCATGTCTCAGGACATCCGAAGACTGATCGCCCATCACCTGCATTTCATCAAGATAGGTTATGAAAAAACGTTCCATATCCAATTCGTGGAAACTCAAAATGCGGTAACACTACCGGATCCCATTCGTGTTTCTGCAGGTCGAATAGTTATTGGTTTATCAGGAAATATACGAACCCATAATTTACCACCTCGACGAGCGTAACGAGTTATAGCTCTGCGACCTGCTTCTATTTGTCGAGATGTTATCCAAGAGGGCTCGAGTGCTTGAAGGGCAAATTTGCCAAAACATATAACATTACCTCGAGTTGCAAATCATATAGTGAAACTTTATTTTAGTCATACTTGCCAGCAGTGCGTTCGAGTAGCCATGTCCGCTTCGGAGATGACCAGTCTGAAGGGGAGGTCACCGCCAACGCTGTGTTGAGTCAGTTCCAAAAGGTCATCATCGAACTTAGAACATATTCTTGACGTGTTTTGGAGTCTTGGATGTACTATCAATGAGGCTTATGAGGTACATTGGTTGGGACCAGAATGATTTTGAGTACACTTGAATTTGACGATCTAATGGAGGGCAAGAATTTTGTACGTTTAGTTGATATGAATGTATGATCTGTCTCTAATCAAGATTGATATTCGGGATGGCGGCTTATGTGAGATTGCAAGCTGGATCTTCTGGTAGAGACATGCTAAAACTTGCGTATCAGAATCTCGGGGTTATATACTGTCACATGGTAACTTCGCCTCTGTAAGTGTTTTCGAACACATTTGAAATTCATCCTCACAGCACGAACTACATTGCTGGAGCTGGGTCTCTGATTTTCTGGACCCTCAGGCTGATGATCCACGTCCCAGAGGATCATCAGACGTGGTTACTGGAACGCATCTTTGAAGAAGATGGAAAAGATTGGAAATTCCCGAAGTACTTTTTTCACCGCACGAATCTTGAGTCAACCAATGAATGATGAAAGTATAGTAGGATGAGAGCTAATTAGCCCTAAGTGAAATATGGCCCGCCCCATTATAATTTGTCAAATAAATTTCATCGTTCATTGTTTAAAATTTATTATTGAAACGTTCTTAGTCCATACAAATATATGTTGTTTACTATCAGATTCAAAAGCCAATGCCTTCTCATAACCTAACATAAGAACAATAACAATTGCCTCTTCAGTCAATTTGCACCTACTTGACTAATCCAAGGCTGAAGGATATGGGGCGCGTTTCCTGTCAAGTAAATTATTCCACATAACAGTTACGCACATGTACAGCTCGTGAACGATCTTGCAAGTCATGATCATCTGGTATAATGATGAAAGTCGAATTCATATCATTACTCAAAGAGATCTAAAGTCCGTCTGACACTATATAATCGGTGAATTAGTTACGATATTCATAGTATAAACTCCAAGTCAGAATAGTCAAGTGAACTTTGTCTTGTAAACCACATCTGTTCGGTAAATATCTAAAAATAGAATAAGAAAACAATTTCTTGCAATTGACTGCGGACAATCCACGACTGAATGATCATAAGGAAGGACTCTCGTCCTTGGTTGACTTGCGCGAAATTCGTGCTCAAGTTTGTTACTAAAAGGTGACTGAAAAAATATTGGTCACCGGAATTTACTGCCTTACCGTGCCAACATACACAAACATCAATGACAACACCTCCGAAGACTGGAGAAGATGACTTGGGGATCTCGTTCATCTCCACTGTCCTCTAGGGGATAAGGGCATACTTAGCAAGGACGGTAACCTTTGCATAAGGACATCACTGGGCGCTTATTACTACTACTTGCCCTCTGTCTGGTGCAAAGAATGGTATGTGTTAACGCAGCGAATGCTGTAAGAATGGTAGAGAAGGTACCACCTACTCCTGTTTGGCGGTTAGAATTGAACCCGGTCATATAAGGAACAAAACACAACCGCGATTAAATTACATGATCAAACTATGTTGGAAGTTGAATTTCTGCACAAATGACACCTCGACCACATTACAGGATCATCATTTCGTGATAATCTACTTCCGATTCCCCACGGTTGTTCTATCTCCATCAGAAGGCTTCCTTTCTCTCTCATACAGTCGATACAAGATGTCAGACTTGGACATTTGGGGTTCTGTTTCAAGGTATGCAATCACATCTTTCAGCGAGATTGTACGTTGACCCCTCCCAGACGGATTCATCCCCCGGCGTCCATTGGCACTCATCATCCGTGTTGCTCCAGGTCCAGGTCCTAGAACAAATCCAACCAGCACTCATCGTTACTACACTGAAGACCTGTGTGTTTGTCATCAAATGATGCACATAGACTGGAAAAGGTGATATATGTTCCTATTTAGCAAAAGAAATGAAGGAAACACCTAAGGATCAGTTAACACTTCACATACCAGGTGGCCTTCCTGTGGCAGTTAGGGAAGTTGCTCCTTGCGAATCTGTCTCATTAGTGCCAGAAGCACCTGTCCCAGCATCACCGTTTTCTGCCTTCTTCTCAGACGACCTTCCAGCAGTTCCATCTGAGTTTCCGGCTCTACTGGCCGCATTTTCTTCGGCAGACCCTAGATAAACATTTCGAGCAGTGGGTCAGAATTTCATCTCATCATCCCAACCCATATTTAGGATCACCAACAAATTCAAACAGGAAAGCTTGAGAGAAACTACCAATATCTCCCCCTTGCCGCTTCTGACGTCCTTGCTCAGCCATCATCTGCCACTTCAGAAGCATATCATCTGCACCCACAGCTACGCGAGCAGCTACATTGGCCGCATTGGCTTTCAGTCTATCTTCCTCCTCTTGTTGTGCCTGACAAGGTTACCATCTATTAGTTACAAAAACTTTGTTGGGTCTCACACAGCTTACAATACGTCAACGGAAATAATTCAATTAGTCGAACTCACCTTTTGTGCTTTAGCTCTAAGCTCCTCTCTCTCTGTATCAGGAAGAGATCCTTTATCTTTTTTCTGTAGGGAGTAAAAAAAAAGGATAATATTAGTGCTTAACATCATTATGTAACAAATTGACTAAAACCATGCATGATATATTACACGTGAAGTAGATCATACCTCATTCAGTCGGCGCAGTCTCTCACTTTCTTCCGCTAATTTTTTATCTTGTAATTCTTTGGCTCGTCTCTTCATCAGAAGCAGTTGTCTTCGTACATCAGAGGTGATACAAATCTTATGCCTGTCCTTTTCTACATCACAGCGCTGCCGAAACAAACTTCATATCAATACATAACTCTACCTTCATGATCACCGTATCCATTACACATGTCCTTCAGTCGCTTGAACATCAACTCGTAGAGGTTCAGTAGTCATAAAGAAGATGAGCAGGATTTCATCTTGGCTTATAATAAAAATATTGTCGAAGTAAAACTTGTGACCTACAAACCTGTTTGGACAATTTGCTCAGTTTGTACAACATGCTCCGTAGTCTCTCTTCAACAGCCTGCAATGAGACTCGTTCGTCAAAAGGGAACTTTTGACTGGCACTCGCGTTACAGCGATGTGTTGTATCATATTGCACAAATTGCATACTCAACATACATTCAAAGATAATCGGGACGACTGGTAAGGGCTAATGTTGAATTACATCCTCATAAGATGACATGAACTATAGTGGCGGAGTGGAAATCGTGACTCGCAGTGGAAGCTTAAGGCCTTACACAAAGTAAATAAAATCAAGAAACAGTAGCGGCTTCTCATACCAAGATTAAATCATATTTGTCTATACAGTACATATTTCCAGGTGGCGAAAGAAAGAGAGCTTAAATGGAATAAGAAAGCGTGATGGAAAATGTTTCCAAAAAAAAAAAATAGGAGACGTCTCCAAGGCTAGAGGGAAACCCAGCCCGAGAATGTTGTGAAATATCGCTATCTCCCCGACTGTCACCTTAATGTCACCTGCTTGCATCTTATGGATGAAGGTGGTAACCAAATCCCGAACAGGCATCCAGAAGAAGTCAAGTGGTTGCCAAAGTAGTTTAGTAAATATCTAAAATTGCATTGTTTTAAAAGGAGGGAACCAGACAGCTAGATGCTACTAATTGTCTAGCTTGGACTTGATTCACGGTCGCTACAAATACGAAAACTGTAATGAAGTTGGAGTAAGAAGCGTTTCTGTTCCTATCCCACGATCTAATCAGTTACTTTTGAAGGAGAGATGTTTCTACTGAGGATCTTCAATACTGTTTTTGATCAACTGTAGGAAGACATTGTTTCTCATGATTTGCAGGAGGGCTAAGGGTAGAACACAAACTCCAATCTTCCTCGTCAGTCAGGGATTAGCTGAATACAAAATCGTACAGGAAACACCTAGCGAGAATCATATCAATAATTTATGAAGGACTTGAAATAAACCTGAGCAAAGAAAATCAGGATATATTCGTCATCACAACAAATTCAAAAGTACACCAGATGTTGCTACTTTCTCCAGACCTCTTGTTACTAAAGAAATAACATAAAAGTTTACTTTTTGTTTAGTACGTTCTCACCAAGAAACAACACACCTAACCACGTAACAGTTGCCTTCTCTATATGATGTAAAACTCAGAACTCAACCGAACAAACAAGGCTAATATAATGTACACCACTCGTAGATATTACATAGAAACGGATTACTTCAGGATGGTAATAGACAGACCCATGAATATTACCATGAATAAAGTTTACTAAAGAACCGTAACATACTCGGATGAAGCTTGACTAGATAAAGGTCATGCAGGCTAGTTCAACTTGCCTTGAATGAACCAAAACAGCAAGAATTATGTATGACACCCGAACAATTACAACTACACCGATCAAAAAAAACAACTTAAACAACTTGAGGCTCGAGGGCTGCCACGTGCTAAGACCAGGAGATACAACCATAGGAACTCTGTCTATGGCATAACATACGCAGTGTAACTTACAAAGAACAAACGGAACAAAAAAGAAGAGAGTAAACAGAAGAGGAGCATGTCATAGGATACATGTCACACCATATTCCAACAGAATCAAAAAAAATTCATCAAGAAACATTCATAAACATCCAGAGAAAAAACTGTGATTTCCAGTAGAGAGGTGAGCACGCCTTTTACTAAAAAATAAGATGCAGCTATAACAACAATGGTACATAGTATTATCTACCAAACCAAGCGAACGAAGGACTGTTTGGTTGATAAGTAGAAGCTTGGAAAAAGATCATCTACATTATATCTCCTACTTTTAGAGACAGCCTTCTCATCTCAAAGATTCCTCCCTCGTCGCCATACCTATTCATGTTTGTCTTCATTCTTTCCCTCCCAGTGCGTAAAACAAATCAAGGCAGGAATCAGCGATGACAGGGAATTAATAATGTGACATCAAACCACTACAATCCACTAACACGGTCTTTGCTGATCAAGAGATGAAGACAAGAACATGTCATAAAGGGCTGGACATAAAGTTAGGATACTAACGTAGAAGTCCCAATATGATGTCACAGAAGGGTCCGATCTCTATATCACTCGGATTATCATCTAGCAGGATGTAAAAGGTAAGCAAAGTGGATATTAAAATCCAAACAAATGTAGAAAATTCTGTGGTGAGATGTTCTCAAGTGGAAATTCTACCAATAAAACTCAAAAAAACATTGCTTTCTTCTACTGGAGTTGGAATTATACCATAGATATACAACGCTCCACATCTTCGCTCACACTCTTGATATTACATTTTCCAGCTGCAGACACATCAGTCAAATTTCAAAATCCCAGACTGAAGAATCATAACAGAAGATGATAGATAACAAGAAACCTTTCACACACGCGCACTCAAGGCAAGGAGTAACCGTGCAAGGCGGTGATTTTAAAGATTGTTGATAAAATCCAGGCAATCCTTTTCATGAGATCTAAATTCAAAAATTCATCTGTGTGCTTAAAAACTTGAACGGGTGGGAATCAGTGGAACTCCACTTCTAGTTACTCACCAATTGCACCAAGTTTCAAGCGCAATGCACTTCTATCAAGAAAAAGTCTCTCTTCCTCTTCCTGAACAATCTTCCGCATTGCCTCCGTGGTTCGGCTCTCCTCTTTGGGTCCAACCAGAAGCTGCTCCTCTTCCTCCTGAGATAGTTCAATAGATAAAACGATTTCACAATATATTGGAGAATTGTAATCAAGGATAAACAAATAGTTCTGACATTTCCTCTAAATATCATGAACGAGGTGTGTCAATACTTTTGAAATCCTACAGCAAACCAGGTTAACTTCCGTGCTCGAGTATTTCTTAAAACAACTGCCTTAATGTATCTGAGAAGCCATATGGAATACTACCTTCAGATTAACACCACTAACAGCGGTTACATCATTTAGCTGATCTATGCTCTGATCGGGCTCTCCTGCTGTAGACACCTTTTGCTTCTTGCTGCAGAGTACAAAGGACACCATGACAAAAAATTACAAACACAACAAATTTTTTAAGAAATACACATGTGATATCGATTCTTCATGTGCGTAAAAGCTTCTAAAAAATGGGCATCGCTTTTGCGATGCTCAGGTTTCTTTTGCACCAATTGATTCCGCTTTATGTAAAAAAATATTCCTTCATGTGGAAAAGTCCTCGTTAATGACCTGGACGGCTGTTGTGCAGGTGAATTTTCAGCTGGCTTCTTCTGACCGACGTTCGCTTTCTTGGATGGAGTTTTTACTGGTCCCGATGGAGTTGGTGCAGCTCCAGGTACAGATGCACTAGGTGCGGGAGCATTTTGTCCTGGTGCAGCTCCTATCGGTAGAGATGCGCCAACACCAAGAGAAGCTGTAGGGTGCAAGGAAGTGGCATTATATGCAGGAGCTGCTGGAACAGCTGTTGACACAGAACCAATTCCCCGCTGTCCACCCACCTGTTCGACAATCAGGCATTATATGAAGATGTTTAAAAGTGAACCTGTTTGTGTATCATCAACCTTTCAGAAACTGACATGTTTCGATCGTTTCATTAAATGTCCAGCAGTCCAGTAGGTCTAAAGAAATTTTCACTATATTTCACGACGTTACAAAAAATGGAATCAATCCCGGAACGGTACGCTAAATGAATGAAGTCCGCAAATCTACAAGGATTCACAGCAACTTAGATCAAACTGTCTTACAGTAAGTGTGTGCCTATAATTGATTTCAAAATCAAACAAAAACGGTCATCACCTCGGACCTGCAAAGTACCTTCAGAAGAAAACCAACGGAAAGTACACTATGATAGAACATAGCAATACCCTTACCTGCTTGTTTGTATGAAGATTTGCAACCCCCACAGTACCCTGACTCAGCATAACCCCACTGTTAGGTAGTGACCCAACACCACCAGGTTGTACCAAGTTAGAAAACGAGCCAGGGGCACTTCCCTGAGGAGAGAGCACTTGCCCAGCTTCTGCATTAGACCCTTGGACCTGCATATGACTAGCATTCGCTGCAGACAAGAGAGAAGAATCCCCAGACTTCTGAGGAGTCTGTCCCAAAACTGATCCTTTCGGAAGTTGCATAGCCTGTCTCTTTTGCAAGCTATCTGATTGCAAGTCAGACAGTTCTTGCTTGACGGCCGTACCCGACTGTCCTGAGATCACCGGACCCACTTGTGCTAAAGGTCCACCCTGTTGTTTATCGACCTGGGAAGTGACCTGTTGTGATAATGACCCTGGATGATGACCATAAGCCTGTTTATTAAGGTCGACTGAAGCTGAAGGTAAGTGTGTTGCGGGAAGTGTTGGGTGTTGTGGTACCAATCCTTGGTGAACATTTGGAAGAGTGTTCGACTGATTTTGCTTCCTCAGTCTCTCTTCTTCAGCGGCCTTGCGCGCTCTCTCCTCTTCTTCTCGCTTCTTCTGCTCTTTTCTAAGTTTTTGTTTAGCGTACTTTGTCAATGGTTTCTCTGGTGGAGTAGGTTGTGGTGCAGGTTGTGGTTGTGGCTGTGCATGCGGTTGTGGGACAGTACCTGCAGCTAGTCCCTGTGCAACTGCTGGAGTTTGCTGCATTTGTAAGTGCCCTGTAGCTTGTCCAGGAGGAGGTTGTTGTGGAGGTGCTTTTGGCGTGAATGGTTGTGGAATTTGAACAGCTGCAGGTACGACAGGCATTTGATGTAAACCCGGAGCAGAAGGACGCTGCGGTGGAGACGAGAAATTAGGAGCCATTTGCTGCTGCCTACCTAGATTCAATTTATCTACCTCCTGTTTCACAGTCTGCAAGTTAATTGGAGAGGGAGTCTTAAGATTGGTCGGGAGCCCAATTCCTGCTGACTCCTGTTGCTGGTCCCCTTGCTTGACCGTAGATCCTTGCACTTGAGCTAAACTAGACGGTACTTGAGGGACCGGATGGAAAGCCTGAGACTGCGGCAAAGACTGAACATCTGCGTTTGGCGGCACCTGTATAGGTTGAGGAGAAACTGCTCGAGGAAGTCCAGGCGCCGCACTCTGCTGAGCCCCATTGGATTCAGGTGCCTCTAAATTTTGATCAACTGGCTGCTTGATCTGCGATGATATCGTCTGTATCGGTGTACCTGTCTGCTCCTGTGGCTGTTTGGATAGTTCTTGAGGAGATGGAGGCGGTACAGAAGAGTTGGAGGACGTTGTTTGTGAGATTTGCTCCTCCTGAGCCTGAGCCTGAGGTTGAACGGTCTGTCCTTGAGTAGGAGTTTGAGATAGTGAGAGGGATAAAGACTGAGCTTGGCCTTGACCTTGTGGTTGACCTTGGCCTTGAGATTGAGCTGGAGCATGTGTCTGTGGTTGGGCAAGAACTTGAACTTGGGGCTGAGACTGAGCTTGTCCCTGAGGTTGGGGCGGTGGATGCAGAGACGGTTGTGTTGAAGGTGTCTGTGCTAGTTGTTGATGTTGTTGTTGATGTTGACTGCGGAGCAACGCCTGCTGTTGCTGTTGCTGCTGAAGTTGTTGTTGCTGCTGCTGCTGCATAAACAGCCATCATTGCTGAGCGAAGATCCGGTTGCCAAGACTAGAAAGCCACAGACCCCAACTAAGAACATCATGGTTCAAACTCTATTGGCAAAGACAATGCAACGGCTTATGAAAAATTATACACTTATAGAAGCTCCACGTTGAGATAAAGTAGTCAAGACATCACTTACAACGAAAAGGGGCCTGATAGCAACATGATGTGACCGTAAAGAGAAGAACATAGATAAAAAGTGTATCCTATCAACAGAGACAATGCATCGTACAGTCATACCATCATACCAAGTATAACTTCCTCAAGATTGCTAGCTTAAATGAACAGCAGTGCCCTGAGATTTTGTAATATTTGCGTAATAAGACAAGAAGAGTAATTGGGACATGCCTTCATATGCATTTGCCGTATTGTTTGAACTAAAACTTGGTCCCCTGCAATAACTCTGGCACCTCGAATGAAATCTTCACGTGTAATTTCATTTCTCTGTAAAAGAAGGAGTGCGGAAGTAACACCATAAATCATTTATCATCTCCAACCATAGAAAAAAAAACCTAAAATGATGGCTGAGGTCTTCCTGCCATTCACAAATTGCTCAACTTGTTTGGCTGATCAAATAGTTTCGCACAGGATGCAAGGGGGGGCAGAAACATATCTTAACTGTTAAAAACTTGGTAAGTCCATTTGAGATCCCATAGTTGCTGAAGACCCCAGAGTAAATCAAACTATCTCCCAGATAATGCCATTTTAACTCAATAAATGTGGAGAATTCCAGTCGTTACCTTGAACTGCAAATACAAAGCAGAAAGTTGTTGACCCTGCTCAGGGGGAAGATGGGGTTGTAGGAGAGGCATCAGGGCCGTAAACGATATGCCTTCTCGAATATTTCCTTTTCTGTTTCCAGCAACGGTTGATGGGGCTCCAGGCTCCATTTGCTGCTGCTGTTGTTTTTGTTGTTGTTGCTGCTGTTGTTGATGCATTCTTTGTTGCATAGTCCTCCTTTGAATTTCCTGCTGCTGTTGTGGGGTGAGCTGCGACCATTGTAAAGCCGTTGGTTGCTGGCCAGGAGTAGCTGCGGTGGGGGCCACTGGAACTGGTTTGCTTCCAGTATTACCTGATCAAGGTATCAATACAAAATTGAACAAACTTATCCACCAGAGAAAAAATGGTGGTAAAGAAATATATGGGATGCAGATATCCAGGTATAGTTATTTTATGCGACCTTACACCGAGTCGCCTAAACTACCTAAATGGACGCTCACTCTAGCGCCTAAATTAATCGGAGCATCTAGACTGTAATTGGCTCAGAATTGGAGCGTGGGAGATCTCATCCATTCAGCTGTGATGATTGTTAATCATCACAGCTGAATGATGATTGTTAATCAGTTTGTTATCACGTCAGTCTCATAGCTCACCGAGGTCGTAATCCGGAGAGTTTGTAAATTAAATTTTCTCTTGCCCACGAGCATCACGGCAGGACTACAAGCCCCGCGTGATGGTGACTCTCTCTCCCTCTACCTCCGAACCCCTCACTCGCTCTCAAGTGCACTCAAGGCGGCTTTTAGCACAAAAGCGCCTAAATTAGCTTTCTTGATGCGACTGAATTAAGCTAATTTAGGTAATTTAGGCGACCGACTAATATAACCATGCCAACAGATTGGATATCATAATATATAATCTGTTGGTTTAACGCAACAGTGTCTGCATCCATTGCTTCATACATCAACTGACCCAATACTGCGCTTATTCTCACAACCAAAGATAAAAAGCAGAACGGACATTGAAGTCTGCTTCTCAACTCAATATGTGGTGATAAAGTAGTGACTCCACGTCAATAGTACTCATGATTCAGGTAAATAGTGCAAAAATGCAAACATGCAGGGCTGAAGTGATGGCGTAAGAAGAAAACTCAGTAGTCTGAGCACGTCTGGACACGGAAGTTGTATGTCCTTGATGCGATCATCCAAACGCTATTGACAGACAAATTTTAATATGGCAAAAATGAAAAGGCTGCAGGAAAGCGCTGTGACTTCATCAGTGCTCATCAAGGTGTAGAAGTAGCTGGTTCAAAGAGCCTGTACTACTTGCAGTCTTTGTATTACGAAAGAGTGGCAAGGATGAACTCGGGGCTACTCAAACTGGTCTGCACATACGCTTGTTTGAGTATTAATCGTTCCAGTTTTGCTTCATAATAGACAACAACTATTGTGCGTTGATAGAATCGCAAGAAGTCATTCCAACCAACATCCAAATTCAAGCTTTGTAGGTAATCGCTAACTTTGTAGACTCTACGATTTCATTTCCTGCTGATGCTGACGTGAAAAATCAGATCCAGAATGTCATTCTTAGATATGATAAATTAGCGTATATCTCCATTCGAACATTGACTGCAAGCATGCACTGGGTTAGGTCTCGTCCCATCTGATCATACTAGACCCTTGAGGTTCCTCCCCAGTAAAGAAAGATTATAACCTGAGACGGCAGTCGCTGGTGGAGACTGAGGTGGTAAGGGTTGTGACGTTCCATTGCCAGAACGTGGCATGCCATATGCAGCTGCTGCCGATGATCCTGCGGCACCACCTATGTCGCCTTTCAAAACAGCAGCAAAAGCATCGACATCTGCTGCAGGTGGTGCATTATAATCCTGGTACATGCAAGTCACGGCAGATCGATCCACCAATTCAAATATTCAGGTTGCAATACCAAGGATCAGACTTGTGATTTTACATCTAAAGGTGGAGGAAATCAAGAAGCCAGCATCCTCTCCAATCGACTACTCTGAAAGGGGAGGCATTTGCCTGTTAAAACCCCCGCCACAGTTTCGCACAGCAAAAGTACTGGATAGACGTGCGCGCTTATAAATTTACCCTTGAAATGGACGTAGTGAAAACTCTAAGTGCACTAGGCAAGAGACTATACCATACTACATCAAAGATTTGTCCTCTCAACCTGAATTACGGGAAAATCGAAGGAAAGACAGAGTGCTCTCCGACTGATTTGCCATGTTTGAATTGCGGAGTCGGACTTTGGACTAGCAAGCTCTAGATGCGACACAATAAGCTCACCTAGCAATCATGGTGAACCAATTACCCTGGCAGACCCGAATTTTCATAAAACTACCGATACAACCAGGTTGCCTCGCAAGTATGGACGATAACTGCACTATGATAGATACCACTGGAGAAAAAGAATTCTAAATCACTTCCTTTCTTTCGTGGACAGATGACTAAGACTACCCCGTTTACAACTCTCTGTGGCATAATGTAAGATTTGAACAGGTTATACTGCTACTTCAAGACTCCAGTATTCTAACTACTCTACAGTGCGGCAGTGTGTGTGACTTTCTGTAGTACAGTATGGAGGATAGCAATGCTAGGACATATACCATGCGTCTAATGAAGATGAACAAACTGTGCCTCGAATTTTGTTGAAGTCGTAAACTCCGCCACACAAGGATCCCCTTCCCACAATCGATGTTGCTTTCATGAACTTTCTCCTCGAGACCACATACTGAATTGGACGGATGAAAAACCTCTCATCCCAAACCTAACTGCAGTTGCTGAAAGATGGTGCACCATCGTGCACCGCAAATAATCTCGAGGGGGTGACGAGGAATTGCTAATCCACAGGCCGGGCTCGCAAAACAGTCTGGAAAAAAAATAAGAGAGGTTCAGCACAAACCTCGTCATCATCCAGCAGCTTGAGAAGCCCGGGATCCATGTGGAACTACTTTTGTCTCATAACACGCGCCCGAACAAAACAATGAGAAATTCCGTCGGTCTCCGCTCACTATTCTAATCTAAATTCCGAAATCCGGCCAAAAATGTTAGGGCTCTTCTATATCTCAGGCGACGCATCTGCAAGTTCGGCTAGTCTCCCACGTATGGGCTCCGGGCCAGAGCAAAAAGAGCTCCCGACGTGCTCATTGTGCTCAGGCAGGCAAGGCATAATCACTACAGCTGCTTTCGGCTGCTGCTGCCGCTGCTGCTCGTTTTCTCGTCAATCCGACGCCAGTGCCAATCATCACGTCGACTGCTCTCGCCCCAGTGCTGTGATTGCCTCCATCTTTCCTGAAAATTTCGTTTCCTACGCAATTGCTGCCTTCAAACTCGAAAGCTCGCGCCTTTCTCCGGACACCTTTCTTTCGGCCAGTCCTCCTTCCGAAAGCTCCAGCTTCAGCTGCGGCTCGCCCCCACAGTCGGCCAAAATAACCAAAATTCCCACTCTTCGCTATTGCTCTGCCAACGCCTCGCTTTTCGTCTTTTGTCGTCGCGAGTGCCGCCCCTCCCCCGAGACCCGCAGCGTACGTCCGAGCCGCCGTGGCCGTGCCGAAGGTCCGTGACGAAGGTGAGGCGGTCGGCTCTCGACGCGCACCGAGCGCGACCGTCGTCGTCGTCGCGGCCGGGAATCGATCTCCCGATCTGCGATTCGCTCATTCGTCGCGACCTGCCTCTCGTCGTGGTTCACGAATCACGGTGCTCTATTTCCATGGAGGCCTTGCCGACCTCGTCCTCTACGGAAGAGGCGAGAACGGCCTCACCCACAGCGCAGATGAACCGGCAGTAGCCGGTGCTGCAACTCCTCTCCCCTCTCGCGCGACGTCGCATGAAACTGGCCGCGTGTGTTCAAAGCGAACGCGTCGACTCTGATATTTTTAAACCTGCGAGCTGGAAAAAAAAATTTCATCCGGCAAATTTCCGAAGCTTGGTTTTGAGGCCCCGCTCACTCTCTTCTCCTTGTGGATGTTAGGGGGCTACGACATAATTTGAGACAACTTTCACACCATTGCTCTAAAGGGAATGAAGGTGGAATCACATATACTTCCTCAAAAAATACATCCGTCATTTTCCAACCGATCATCGAAATTTAACCTTGGTGTAACCAACTACCCTTGTATGATTCTTACAGTGCTCTAATATTTTTCTTTAAGCATTTTGTAAGGTTCAGAACCACTCGACTGACTTACTTCTAATGAAATAAACTACGTGTGAGAAACCATATTATGTTTCAGAAACCTAGAAAATTGATTTTCTCTAGCATTTTTAAAAGCTATTTACACTTTTCATACATCTGTATGTACTAATTATGAGTTTGATGATCATGTATCAATATCAGTTTTGATGTGAAAGCTAATTTGTATGACCACGATATTCGAAAACGGAAAATAATTTCACTTGCAGGCTTCTTTGAAAATTGTCAACTTCAAATCGAGCATAAATTTGCATGACCATTATACTGATTGCAACGCATACCAACGCTCTCTGCATATGAACTGTAAAAACTCGTGATTCTATACTTGGAAAGTATCATGCTCTTAATCCTATTTATAGTTCAAATCTACAAACACAGTCACATCCACAGTGATATGCAAAAATGTGCGATGTTTGAAATGTTTCAATACAAAAACGTGGAAATTCAAGTGACATGAATAGATTCATGTGTAGATTTGCTGTACGCAAGGGTTGTCATGGTCGTGTTCTCTAGAAGTCATCGGTTTACCACTCTGTGCTAGTCAATGCTTTCCGATTTGTAATGTACTGCTAGACGTTGGAGTTTCTGTGGGATTAGTGCTTCATACTTCAAGCCATAGCTTCTTCTTTCATCCTCGTTGAAGTGTTCATTTTCCGCACTGCTCCCTCTCCTCTTTTCATATTCCGACAGTTGTCAACATATAATCTCCTTTGTTCTCCTCTTTCTTATCATTATACTTCACTTCTTTGGTTTCTAAGTATGGTTTTCGCAGTTGTACCTTTCGGTCTGCACCGCCGTTCAAAACACATACCTGTCCTCGGACCGAGTAATTGACCAACACGAAAGAGCAGTTCTGGTGAAACTCAAGATTCCTTGCGAGAAGGACAGCTCTTTTATAACATATCAATTTAGTTACAACCTGGATTCAGTTGGACAGACAGCCTTTCAGATAAGAGTATCCACACTCCCTTCACATGTTAATAGAGGAACTTTTACCACAATCTTCAGAACATAACGCCCCTCCTTTTCTCATAGCTTCTCTCTAGAACGTGCCAAAAGTGTACACACAAACCGATAACGATAAAAGATATTTCTAACCACGTTCTCCACACGTTGATAGCTAATAAGAAACCCGGTCGGTCATAATTCGTGCTCATTGGAAACATATACTGACAGACTAGATTCTTGGATGGACTACTGTAAACATAAGACAGTGGTTTCAGTTAACCTAGACTATCAAAGATTTCATTATCAATCGGGAGCGATGTCCAATCTCCCAAACAAATACAGATAGCTGGAAACACTTTAAAGGGATAAAAGACTTCCAGATCCGTTAAATCATTTCCTACTCAAAGGCTGAGACATAAACTCCAAACTCTATATCTCAGCATGTGTAACGATGACCGTAAGAACCTCACTTAATGAGGTGCCTTTATATTCGCTACTATATTCCTACAGAAGCTGGAGGTGACCTGAACTGCTTACCACATCACCAAACAGCTCGGTAACCTGAACCTTCCAAAAACAAATGTGTGTGCCACCCATTTTCTCTCAAACCCTCGAGGAGGGCTGGTAAAGATTGCTCTGTTTTTTCATACGCATCACGTAAGGCCGCTGCCTTCTTCAACCCAAACCCATGTGAGTCATCGCCATGACCATCACTCCTTTGATCAGTTTTGTGAGCAAGTTGGCAAGCGTAAGCGGCCAACAACCATCCACGAACTGCGTCTTCACCCGTAGCTGACTGATGAAGCACTAGATCTGTTCTCTGATCGGAAAAATTTAACAAGAATCGCTCATTACCAAAGCTCTTCTTTAGCTCCGAAAGAACAGAAGGCTTACTGACCGTCTTCAACAGTGAAGCTCCAACACGCACATTTCCCGACTCTTGCTGCAGCCCTACTGGCAAGATGAGCCGCTCTCGGTATCTTAAATCTACTGGCTTCGAAACTTCTCCTGTCTACACTGCCGAAAAAAATAGACGTTATTATGTTCACATGGCAAGCATCCAAAAGGCTAAACACTAAACTTACAACTAATAAGTTAAAGCAAAAGAGGATTCACTAAATGCTCATGATAACAGTTATAAATAACTTCACAGGTGAAATTAATAGAAAGGGATGACAATTGCGACAAGACATGTGACGGGAAGAAATTTGAATGTGCATAGACAAGTAAACCGCATTTAGTTGCCGCCAAGATTCATCATAACTCCAAATGTGTCGAGAAACAAATCACACATGAACACAAAAACCTTCTGAACATCTACGCACCTTCAGAAAATCAGCAACCAGCATCGCTGTACGCTGCCCGTTCAAAGTATTGATGGGCGCGGCACGCATTTCTTGTGCAACACTATAGAGATGAATGGCTGAGAGAACTGGAGCTATCAGGAGCTGCGAATAAATGGACCTCGTTAGGCATGTGCCCTAAACCCTCATTTACGCTACCGAATTACGATCAAAACTATCATTCTTTAGTTTACTTTCTGGCAACCGAAAGGGACAAAGAAGGGGTTATGTCTCTCCCCCTGCGAAACAGTATATTATAACTTCCGATGAAAATGAGTAATCGAAATAATATGACAATTTTACACTGACACACCTTTCCTTGAATTGTAGCACACACAGTTGACGCCAACTGAATGCCAACACCTAGTCCAAAAACATTCGACAGAGTTGAAATAGCTTCACCCTTCGCGTACAAATCACTCAAGTTGCCTTCTCTTGCAAAGGATGAGTACACCGGCAACCGCGTAGCCCTTGCGGATACAAGAGCCATACCCTGCAGAACATGCAAAAGATGATAAGACCCTGACTTCTCGAAGAAACATGAATCAAGTCTCCGGTTATAAGAAAAAAGATCTCGTCCTCTCATGAAGTGCAGGACCCTCTAACTGATTATGCCGGATACAGACAGCCAAATGTAGTTTTCCGCTGGATATTTCAGACACTAACTGCCGATGTCAATAACGGTATCAGCTTCATACAATAAATTTGTTTCATAACAAGAAGTAATTGCATCCCAAAGTATTTCGTCGAGCCCAAGTCCGCATAATGACAGTGTACGTACCTTAGCCATGTTTGCCAGCCCCGCAACGGTAAGAAAGTGTTGAGGACACAGCGGAGAAATAACCTCCAGCCCAGCCCCGACGTCGTACATTACATCGGCTGGTAAAACAAACGATGTCTCCGTTAAAAATCAAGACGAATGGACACCCAGCTCTCTCGTTGGCACGTACAGCCAACGTTGTCTTGTCTAAGAAACTGGCTTCAATGAAACTAGATCGGACATCAACTGAGCAACATCATTGGCAGTGATGTGTTGTACCGAAGATACGCCACCGTTTCGGCTCTGAATCCATCCTAGCACCCATGCTGCTGCAAATGAGCTTCCCAATGTGTTGCATTCCATCCTTGAGCACCTACAGGAAATATAAAATTCAGACCCAAATATGTGAGTTCAAGAAACCGAAGAATGCAAACTTGCAACCTTCACCTGGTCTCTTGTTCATAAGCACAAGACCATGAGGATCTGCGAATGCTGGCAATCTACGAATGTTGGCCAGAGACTTGAGAAGACAGAAAGGCTTTACTTGATGTACACATACGAAAATATGGAGTGTGAGATGAAACTTTGAACAGTAAATGCAGACAAAGCAACAAGCAAAGAATCTTACCCAGCTGACAATGGTGGCCTGGGCTGGTGTCGGTCTCAAACCTGCAGCAAACAACAGTGACTGCACACCCGAAACTTGGTATTAGAAGAAAGTTTATAAGATGACTGATAGCCTAAAGCTTTAAACTCAGGAAAAGAGAAAGAACAAAAATCGTAGTCCAGGATTTGTACAAATTCTAAAAGTGAATTGAAAGCCCCCTCAGACCACAAAGAATGAAAATGAACGTACATTAATAAAGCCGGTAAATTTGAATAACAAGACGGCGCAAACTGTACGTTTTTTGCTGAGACGTACCTGTGTTGAAAGAACCGAAAGAACCGCACTCGCAAAGTGTTGTACAGCACGATACTGTGAGTATACCAAATAGCCTTCGGATACACTGTGCAGTTCCAAAGGATTCTTTTTGTCAGCTACTTAGAAAGGGAAATATTCAGAAAACAAATCCTCCAAACCAAGTTCTGCGAACACTCCCAGAATTTCGATGTTGCAGAAGGCGTGAACTTATAATACACAGGTGATTGTCGTTTGCATGGCTGAGGACGGTAAGCAAACTCAATTCCTGTTTTCTATTCACAGTAAGCTTCTATCCGACCAAGAAGAAGTACTATATCAAAACTAGTACTCTTCGTCAGTTTCATCGGATGTTGCACATGCAAGATAATTCTTAAACTTGTCAGTCACCTATTGGGATATCCAAGCGGAAAGAAGCGGCTGTAGAAGCTGTCCACGGCCCGTTCCAATGGTTGACGTGTGTCCTTGAGATGTATCGTCTGCGCCCGTTGAATCATGTGTTAAGACATTTATCCGTCATTCCACCGGCAACAAGTAAAGTTCCAAATGCACACTCAACTTCAACTTTGAAGACTTCCGGACAGCTATATTCCACGCCATTTTGCCTAAGCATGTAGGGAACGAGCCATTCAGTCTTCATGACTAAGACACGGAGTACCATTCGATACAGTGTTGCAGTTTAGAACCTCTCAGGTGCGCTACTGGCGACAGTCAATACCTGTAGAACAGAATCGTCCCCCATCCCACGAAACCTGAATTCTCGACGAGTTTTATCAGCTGTTTCAATCAAATGATGACCTAGCACATTTTCGGCATTGCCTGACTGCCCGGCCCAGTCCTCGGAGGATGCCTGAAACTGCTTTTCGACCTCCGTAGCATCGACATTGGCCCTTACGTTTGGCGCAGCGACTGAGATTCTAGCAAATGGTAGCCGCGTTGCAGCCTGCCCGAAAATATTCATCAGCTCTGATTCATGTGAATCTGCAAAATTGCGCTTGCTAGTGCTGCCAAAGCCCCATTTCAAGCGCTCGTCTTGCCCACTAACACCTGCAGTCTCAGAATAGTTCTTCCCTTTCGCCATCCCCTCAGAGCATTTCGCCAAATGCTCACGAAAATGACCCAACAGATTCGAAGAAAACTGCGCCGGGATGTCCAAGAGGTTTGGCCGGGGGTTGGACCAATCTCCAGAGGTCGTAACCATAGCTGCACGTTTTTCTCAGCAAAAATAATCCTTGCTATACATGACACGAAACAACCTCCACGATATAAGAAATCATAAATCCTGTCAAACCCAAAGCCCTGAGCTCATCCTCGGTCCATGCAGTGTCGGGGAACAGAGAGGTGCAGCCAACCAACTCCTACACGAAGAATTCGATCGACGGAAGAATGTCGTGCAGACAAATTGCACAAGAGCACGAGCGGCCCACACTAGAACGCAGTCGGAGAACAGAGAAACCTTAAACCTCAGCACGAAGCTGGCCTGAGCAGGCCGGTGTCCAGAGCGGCCACGGAAATCATGCCGAAACACGTTCATAAATGACCAGACTGGATAACGTATGAACGAACGGATGAAGGGGATAATCTAGCGTATGATTGATCCGCGTAATTAAGGGTCGGTGCGAAGAAAACCCAAATCGAGATTTCCCTCCGGTAAGATGAACCCTAAGACCGGGTCTCATGCCTCCACCTTCCATTCTCCGGCGTTCCATTCGTTCAGCCTTTACTTACTGCTTGCTGCTGTAATAGCCGAGATTTGGCGGTCATTTTCCTCGCGGCCCTCTCTCTGGGCAATGGGCCAGTTCTGGACGAGGTTCCGCGGTCTTTTTACGCTTCGTCGCATAGTCCAGCCACTCCTCTTGGAACCGGCCATTGGTTGGATCACCTTCTAGCTGCATCGTATCCGGCTGGTCTCGAGGTGGACACCTACCCATGTTCATGATCATGGGTTTGTAAATAAAACCGGATGAAATAAAAAGCCCGCACGCAGGAAAGACCAAGAGACAAAACCCAGGAGAGAGAGACATGAAGCCAAGCGAGTCATAGCTTAGACGTCAGCTATAAAGACCGCCAAAACACTTCATAATTGATGAATATTTTATATGTAATGATTATATAACGTGTTCATACTGATCCTGTTGTGCAGGACGTCTAGAAGCACATGTACATGCAAAGCCCCTAAATGTGTTGACTTATTAAATCGAGCCGTGGGTACCAAGTGAGTTGTAACAACCAATCGAGGAGCACCTGCAGCAGACGGACTCACGAAGAAAGTGAAAGCAACACCAATCTCCACTCTCAAGGGGAGAAAACCAGTATTAACAAGAACTGCATGCATGCATAACATTGGTTGTGATTACATTCTAACAAGGTGTCTCGTATTCGGATCCGTCTGAACCTGCTATAAGTCCAGGTGAAACAACCCGAAGTATTCACGTGAAGGGAAAAGACCGTGTGAAGAAGGACTCTGATGCATGCATGAGATCTTCTTCTGATCACATCAAACCAAATGAGATGTGTTATTCGTCCCATAATGTAACAACATTCACTCTGAACTTCTTGCCTGTCACGTAGGGTTGGAGGCACAACAAATTTTGTCGAGGCATGCCATGCCCCTTTTCAAGGTCAAAAGGCATGCCCCATGTCCCCAGACATGCCCATATTACAATACGTATATTTGATGTATCAGAAAATATACTTCTATGAAAATAAAACACTTGTGTCAGGGCAAATATTCCAATTTGCATTTGTAAAACCGGAGAGTTGGAGAGACTTTTCATGTTGATATAGAATGTCATAATCAGAGTTTGACTTGAGGTAGCGGAGAATGTGTAGAGCCGAAACAATCAACACGAAAATAAGAGCTTCAAACCTACTCTATAGTAGAATCTCGAAATGTCTATGTAAGGAAACAAAAGCAAGAGAGAACACGCGCTTATGTTACCTGCAGAACAAAAGGGCCAGGCAATTTTGTGGCATGGAGGGAGTGCATAGAAGCAGGAAGTATTGTGAAGACAGAACGGAGATATTGTGACACAGAAGAAATGCAGAAGTAAATAACATGGAGATATTGTGAAGACAGAGGAAATGCAGAAGCAAATAAAATAAACAATGTATGTAACAAATGATAGAAAATTTACAATGTGAAGTGCCTTTCTGGGCCGGAAACAATAACGTGCACATAGCATATGTTTGTTCTTCATCCGTCCTTTGTCAACATTTGCTGGAATCACATGTAATCATGTGCCATTTAGCAGAGCTAGATTTAGTTTAGTGGAGATCGTCCAAGCCTCAAGGAAAAGAAGTTCCTCATGCTAGACATCCGGTTCATTTAAAGCTGAAAGTAATAAAGTCAGAGTACCTGTCTACATCCCACATACCGACACAAAAACAGCATTGCACATACTTGGCAAAGCCTTCGGTTCCAAGAGCAGTTTCAGTACCATGCAGACCAACAATAAGCATAATTTCTCATTTATTTCTTGACTTATCCCACCGTCTATAACTTTGGAATATACATATAAAATAGTTCGTACATACGGACATTCCCCGTATGGAAAATGCGAATGACGCATGCCCCCGTGCCCTCGCCCGGGGCATGCCTTTTGAGTTGTGCCTCCAACACTGCTCTCAGGGTACCAAAACGACACATTCTTGTGACTTGTATGCTCGCCAAGTAATGTATTGCAATTGTTGCGTATCCTATTGCATCGATAGATAATAATCTCTCCAATATTTAGACCTCCTAATAAGTACTACGCTGAGAGGGGTAGAGGAGACCAAAACACCTTGTATTGATAAAAAATTGGTCTTACATTAGCATCTTCCTCCACACAAGAATGAATTCACCACACATTAATATTGTGAAGTAATTGCTGTTACACATAATTACTGTCATTGGATGTTTTTGTAGATGGATGTTGAGACGGATTAGAGGAGAACAAAACAGCTTATATTGACAAAAATTAACGTCTTTATCCACTAACAAAGAATTCAACACACAGTTTGTGTATGAAGTAATTCCTATTGAGTATATTAAGTTTCATTTGGGTTGTTTTGTTGGTGGATGTTGACAACGCTTTTCACATTATCTCCAATGTATACATTTGTTGAAAGTTAAGAGTAGTGAACTTTTTTCTAGCCTTGTTCATTTTTTTTAAATTATGGTTTTTATTCTTGTTAATTCTATGATCTTCTTTATCCCAAATATCTAGTTCTTTTATATAATGATACATGATGATAAATATATAATAATAATATAAATTTTATATTTGCACATTAATTTCCCCACGTGTGTTTGAATATAATATGCTTAATATTGTCAGTCAACAAGTCCATTTTATTGGCAAAATCTTCACTTCTATTACATTTTATCATGGTTGAGAACTTCATAAAATAAATATTTTGGACGTTTTTTTCACGATTTTCAACCTTTGATAACCTGATTAAATATTTACTTATAGTCATCATCAGATGAAACATTTTCATGAGGCAAAAAGTAAAACATAGTTTCATTTATGGAACTTTATGAATTTATAGCAATTCTGGCTAGTTTAACATTCTTATTTGCTTCTGTACCTTTCCAAACTGTAAAAATAAAGAATAGAAACCAGATTTTAGATATATGTTCAGGTTGCAAGATAATTCCCAAAAATTAGTTTTTAAGTGCATTATTAATCTTGAGCAACATTGTACAAATGTACATTTAAAAAAATAATCCATCCACTATCTGTAAATTTTGTTACAATTTGTGTTTTGATTTGATATATGGAACATGATTAATATATCTACATTCATTATTTCTAATAAGTCTAATTCTCATGACTCATTTACATTCTTGCTCCGATGCACGCTTGTGAATGTAGTTTTGAAACGCAGTATATGAGATCATACATGCTTTCAAGAATATATGCATCTATTTGACTCACTATTTACTTGGATTAAATTCTCACTAACATAAATTGTTAACTGAAAATGAGCTTTGATTAGTGCGACAACGTTTTCACCAAAATGCTTGTATAGTGGTGATAGTTAGACTTAATTATCATTTAATTATATTAGTTGCAAACAAGAGTTTGCTTATATTTTTTCTCTTGACACTCATCTTATAGTACTTTATTCTATAACCTACATAATTGTTCAGTTTTTTAAGACGTAATGCAACTTTTTTACCTCTTTAATTTTCTTTAAACAATAATTGTAACATAATGAATAAAAATGATCTATGTGCATAACATGAGGATGAAGTTTTTCTTCAATCTTACCTGGAACGAGAAAATAAGTTGTCGAAGAAATATCATATAGACAATTGAATTTGTTTAAGATGTGCTACATTCTATTTACATATTTAAATTTTTTTTACAAATAACTAAACTACATAATCTAGATGATTTTTAGAATACAAATAAGACTTAACTCATTCACACAATCTCATGTCAAACAAGAAAATTTTAATACCTAATATAAACAATTTATTATGTTTTAAACGTAACATTGTATCTTTTACATTCAAAAATCACTAACAAATTTAATTTTCTCATGTACACTACATATTTCATTTTAAACAATCACATGTATTCAGAAAGAAAAATTTATCGATATAAAAAAAAGTGTATTTATAAATGATAAAATAACTATAAATTATAATTTAAAAATAAATGTTGTGAGTTTTGTTTATAATAAATAATATTTGGTAAAGCTTTTTAGTTTGTAATTATATCATGAAATTGATTCAAGCTTGTTGATTTTCCTTGAACTTAGTGCCTTCTAGATAAATGTTAAGATCCATAGTTAAATAGATAGTTTTGTTGTAAATTGATATGCCTACGATACTTATGATTAATTTTAGCTAATTATGATTAATTTGACCTTGAAGATATTAATTTCATTGATCTAAGACGATATCTTATAGAATTTATTTATATATTAACTTAATTTTTTTATCCAAAGATTAGATTCTAAACCAAATACTACTTTGATGACATATTTGTATTGATAAATTTAACCAAGTTTGTCTGTCATCTAATTATGACAAGCAAGCCATTCATACTCTCTTTCGAGCGCCTATTACACGGTCCTTGGAAGATGGCCTGATAGACTCGTCAAAGTGAAACTTGCCAAACAAGAACCAAGATTATGTGAGAAAATTTACATGATATCTTCATTATATAATATTAATTTTTTCTAAGCTTGTCGTGCGATTCGGTATCGCCAAACATCATACATCGCTGACATGCTCTACTCACAACTCACACATACATACACAAGTTACGAGAGTGTCCACACACAAAGGTATCCGTACAAGTATCTACGTACGAGAATACCAGACTACAACACTGCAACCAAACCCGTGCTGATCCACCCAAAAAGATCCAGCAAACAAACACCCTATGGGGAATACTCCCATACAATAGATGTAGTAACCAATGGTGATAGTGTGTTAGGACCACATACTAGCCGACCACCTGAAACTCGCTCTCCCTCTACTGGTAAAGAGGCCTCACTCCAAGCCTTCTTCACCAACCTGTTAGCCTTCTGTTGTAATGCGTGGCAAGAACTCTAAAGTGGAACATCCAACGGTGATGACACTGCCGCCGCGAGGCTCACGATCTCCTCCACCTCCTCAT